TTTTTAATGTCTTAATGATTAATTGAGGGAAAAAAAGTCTAACTATTTATGAATCATGGTGGACCAGAGGGTTACAAGAGAAGTTCATGTGGGGCTGGCCTCACCTCCTAAGAAATTAGTGTTCACAGCTTCCTTGTAATGGTATGAGCCTTTGGCACCAGAATGATTTGCTGTTGCATTACTACACCAAGAAGCCAATAGATCAAAACTTGTTTGCTAAAATGTCTGTAAAAATCCTGAAATTCCCTATTCTCTGTGTACAAAACAAAACAAACAAAAAAACACTAAGAAACATGTTGTTGGGGGTGGGTGGGTGGGGGAAATATTCCTTATATTTATATAAATATATATATAATATATATATTTTGCTGATGCAGTATACAGTGTGTATATATGTGTGTGTGTGTGTGTGTGTGTGTAAATTTATATACACACATGCAAACAGTTCCTGGAAGAGAACTCTGAATGCTTTGCTAGCAAAACACTGTGGTGTGCAAACCTAGAACTCAATAGAAAAAAAAAGCCATTTATCTGAAGGCTGCATAGTGGAGAGAGTCTTCAGTTTACCTCATTCTTTGTAGCAGCCCTTGATTTTAACAGGTTTTTGTAATAGGTACAAATAATCCCATACCTTTCTAGGTCCAATTTTAAGTTAAGCTAAAATTCTTTGTAGGGTTAATTTATTTGTATATGATAGTAGAAGGTAAGATCATGTAAAACCTTATAATTTGGGGAATCTGACACTATTTAAATTATTGGCAACTGTCGTCTGTTGTACAGAGGTTCTCTTTTTCTACTGGCTCAGTCTGTTACATGAATAATGCATTTTCTATGTTCAAGCACACAACTTTACATAAATACAAAGTTCACTAGTAATACCAATTTATAATATTTTGGCTATCTACAACACTAACTGCACTCTGCTACAAAAACTAAATTTATGTTCTTTTCATCTGTAAGCATTATTAATACATCTTCTCTATCAAAAACCTGAGCAATACAATATTTTCTTTATATGCTATATGCCTTTGCTAAAAGCTAACATTTTTGCATTTACTTTAAAGGGCTGTACTAAACCCACAGCTTTACATTTTTTCCTAAGAAGAAGCGTTGCCGCTAATCCTCGAATCCACAAATAGTTTTAAAATACAGTATTTCTCTTCTCCACGTTTCCGTGCTTTCATATCAGTGCTTAGTTGTTTTTCCAGATGAGCACTATAGATAATCTCTTGTTTGAAATGTGGGGCAGGAGGCTCTTTCTTGGCAATGGAGCTGTTTTTCTTCTTTCTAGTGAAACCGGCAACCCAAATGTCCCAGTAGAGTTAGAGTCCCGTGTAGTACATGCTTCACACAAACAGAAATGAATGCACTGTTTTTTTGAAAGCTCAGTTATAAATTATAAAATGATTACTTCAGAAATGGGGCTGCCTCCTCAGATATTCAAAGTATAAAATGGAGGAGCCTGTTGTGTTTCACACTGGCTTGTTTGACATTCATATATCTTACTGTTAATTCAGCAGTATTTTATTGTGAAAGAAAACCCCAGTGTTTCAGCTCACTCAGGAGTCAGGGTAAGAGGTGAACCACCACTGTGGTGCATTCCTTGAGTGTTCTGGGGGAATGTCACACTTTTCCTTCCCAGGGTCAAAGAAACCTTTTGGGAAATGACTGAAGGAGACTATTTTTCCCCAAGTATTATGATGTCTAGTTAATTCTGAGAATACCACTGGACGTGTTCTATGGACATTTGGGATTGCTGTTCCCATTGTGATTTGATTGGTCCTCAAATGGATCACTTTGAAGGAAAGTTTTGGTTGTCACCATTATACCACTGAGATAAAGTGTTAGCAAAGTATGGTTCAAATTAATTTATGATATGACCAAGAGCTTTTCTCTTCCAAAAGATGAATTTTATTGTAAATAGTTTCTCAAAATATTTTTAACTGGATCATGAGCATGGGGAGAGAAAGTTTCTCAGCTGCTAAGAATTTCCCCACTGTTTACTTCTTTCACTTACAGTGGTATTGCGTATAAGATTACAAAATTTAGGGTTTTATTTGTATCTATTACCCAAACCATTAAGTTGTCTTTAATTTCATCATTGTCTTGGAGGTCCAGTGCATAAAGGGCTGCTAGGGGAACATTCCCTCTAACCAGTCAGCACTCTAACCCAGGATTGAGACTGTCCCATTGAGTGGTATGTGAAGTCAAATCTTTGTACTCTTCCAGACCAAACAATGAAATAGATTCATTCATATAAAATCCTATAAAACCTGTAAGTGAAAAGATAGACAACTGTCAGCAGTTGCTTTTAAAAAGGTCACTATAATGAGTACTATGTAGTACAATATTAATTTATAGCAGGAAATCATAGCTTGTAAACTGTATATAAAACACTGTTTTATGGTGCAATCATTTGTCAAACTTTTGTCTGTTACGTTGTTTTTAGAGTGTGTGCATTCTTCTCATACCTAAGAACATCACTGTAAAATCTGAAAACTATTTATAGGTTTTATTTGCACAAGACTTAAACTAGTTTGAAATTTTTGGAAGCTCCTATTGAACATGCCTAAACATCTGTAAACATGAAAAATCTTCAATTCATTAAAAGCAAACATTTCAGTATGATTCTTTCCAAAGGTAATCCATGTTCTATGTTGTTAATGTGTGTATGTAATTTTTCTGACTCTTCTACTTCTTATCCTATTTTCTCTTCCATTTGTTTTGAAGGATGGCTCCTCTTTTTTTTTTCTTTTTTTAATGTTCTAAATGACCAAAACACTTCATTGGTTTTTACCCTTTTGCCTAAAGCTTTGATATCCCTGCTTGACGTTCTGTGAATTCACTGTTTAATCTCTTAAGTAAAATAATAGCCCTGGTGACATACAGTCTATTGATTTAGAGGAAAGACCCTGAAAAAGTATTGGAAACTAACTTTAGACATACTCTTAGCTATTATTTTGCATCGTGGGCTTCATGGGAAGAACATGTTGCATTTATTTTGTCTTTATTAAAAGACTACTAGCCACAAGTTACTCTGATTGTAGTAACTGTTTTATCAACCCACTTTGATCTTCTTTTAAAAATTAAATTTACATTCACAGTTCAAAACAGTAAGCTGTCTCTCAGAACTAATTTTTGAAGGATAAAAATATATGAAGGAAAAACATGGCCTGTGTAGGTTGGATTCCCTACACAGGACTTATTAGTTGTATCACCTCAAGAGATTTTAGAGTTTGTGATCAAGGTCTGTATATTACCCCAAATTTTATTAAGAATTGTTTTCTAATTGGTTATAACATTTTTCAATTAATAGTTTCAAAACAAATTGTTAATACAAACTGTATAAAATGAACATAATTTTCTTCACTTGTATTTTTGTTATTGAGCAAGTTTATCAAAATAAATTGTCTACTAAAGAAACTAAAAAGGCTTCTATTGCTTTGAAGTAAGCTTTGATTTTAAAAATTCACTTCAGAAGTTGATTTCTTACAGAGGTTTTACATATTCACACAATGACACTGTCATGTCCCTTGGTATTGTTTTGTTTCAGCATCAGGCAGGGAGAAGGTCTCCCTCTCTTCTTCCACTCCCAGCTCCCTCCTTGGGAAGAGATGCCGGTAATATTCCAGAATATGGATTAGGCCGTGTTTACCAATAAGAAGAGTCACTCAGCAATAAAAGACCACACATATGTGGCTCTCTGTCTTCTGCATCATGTTTTTATGAACTGAGAGAAATCCACTGAGCCAAGGCTCTCAAAGCCAGCCATCTTGCCTTTCTCCCTCACACGTAGACCTAAGGCCATTCATCTTTGCTCCAGTCTTACATTTCTACTTCACTGCAGGCCAAAGGATCTTAGCTTCTAAAATTTTAAAATTTGAGTTGAAGGAGAGGACAGAGGCCTTAAGTCTCTAGACTCATCCATGTGCTCCATCACAGCTTTACTGTAGCTTTCTCGAGGGGTCTCAGGATTTAGCCCAGCCACATAATAACTAATAACCAATTAAGCACCACATTTATTACCCTTTGCTGCTGTTTATCCTTTATATGGCCTTTACAGGAACCTCGTGGGGAGTTGGAAGATAAAGACAAAATAGGAATTGGATGTTCTTGAGTTCTGGATCGTAAAGGCATCTTCTTAGGGTGACCAATCATCCCCATTTGCCTGAGACTGAAGGGTTTCCTGGGACATGAGATTTTCAGTGCTCTAACTAGGAAAATTCCAGGCGAAAGGGATGAGCTAATCACCCTATCTTCATACCATCCAAACCTATACTGATATATAACACAGATGAGAGGTATTTGAAGAGTTCTATAAATATTTCTGAAAGGTCAATTGGAAATTTGTAATGGTAGACTTACACAACTTCTAAGAGTGGGAGAAAACACTTCTTTCTCTTTGGTAATACCTTACGAAAAAACAGACTAACTTTTTTTTTAAAGATTTTATTTATTTGAGAGAGTGAGAATGAGAGATGGAGAGAGAGAGCACATGAAAGGGGGGAGGGTCAGAGAGAGAAGCAGACTCCCTCCTGAGCAGGGAACCTGATGCGGGACCCGATCCCGGGACTCCAGGATCATGACCTGAGCCGAACGCAGTCGCTCAACCAGCTGAGCCACCCAGGCGCCCCAACAGATTAACTTTAAAACCAGTAATGTGAGGGTGCCTGTCTGGCTCAGTCGGTAGAGCATACAATTCTTGATCTCAAGGTCGTGAGTTCAAGCCCCCCACTGGAGCCAAAAAAAAAACCCCACAATAATATGAGTCCAAAGACACCTAATTTTGACTTAGTCTTCCACTAACTCTGTTCTAACCACTGTATGAGGAGATTATAGGAAAAACACCCAAGACTGGAAGACTGGGTTCCTCTTATGCAAAGTCAACTCTTCTGGGTCACAGTTACCCAGCAACAAAATAAAAGTAGGTATTTATAAATGGTATCAAAGATAGCATAATGCTGTATTATTTTTTTTTAGAGTTTTGGTTCTTTTCCCAGGAGGAGAAAACAATGGGATATTTTCAAGCACATTCAAGTTTTCTGCAATTCAGCCCCAATTCCACGCACAGACTGAGACCACCCAAGATTAAATTTCAAGAAGAGATTTTTCATAAGACTCAGAAGATTTTAGAGCTGGATGAAATCTAAAAGAGCACATCCAGTGTTTCCATTTTCCAGATGAGGAAATCAAGGCCTCAGAAAAGTAGACTGCCTTTCCCGAAGTTCTACAATAGCAGAGTACCCAACACAGGAAATGTCTGTGACAGAAGGTCCTTGGACAGTTGACCTCTAACAGCTATTCATGTCCTACAGCGTCTGAACCGGACTTCCTTCAACTAATCTCCATCTACTCCATCCAACTAATTTCTACCAAAATAACACAAAAGAAAGCATATCATTTCTTTGAGTTCCTCTCATTCCCACTCTACAGAATGAAGTGCAAACTTCTTTAGTATAGCTTCATGATCTGGCTTCGGTCTGTCTCTTCTCTTTACCCACCACTGTATCTTTTCACCTTACACAGCCAAACCAGCTAGTCTCCATTCTTTCACTGCACCTGCTCCTTGTCTTGGCTGTGACTGCACCACCTCCTCCTCGCAGTTTTCCCTAATCCCTCTCGTATTTGAAACATAACTAATTTTTTGTCCTTTCTCTTTGGTTTATACCTTTGTAATAGAACTTACTTGAGGCAAGTAGACTGCCTGGATTCAAATCTCCATTCCAAAATACTCGCTGTGTGACCCTTGATAAATCACCTAGCCTCTATGAGCCTTGGTTTTTTTCACCTGTAGAATGGGGTTAACAGTACCTATGTCATAGGGTTATTGTTGGTTTAAACGAGAAAGCATGGGAAGCGCCTGGCTCATAGAAAGCATTCAAATGTTAGTTGTTGCAGTTCTTACTAATAAACACCTCCCTATCACTAAATTATAAACTCCTGAATGCAAGGAATGTGGCTTTCTCATTTCCCTTAGAGACCTAGCACATTGCTTTACATGTGAATTGAATTATAATAAAATTTGGGGCTAGGTTACAAAGGAAAATTATGAAACTGTATTTGAGAGACCTAGCCACCTATCTGCCAGGACTATTTCAGTGAAATTCTTCCAGCCCTTATAAGTAGATGTGGTTGTTTTATTGGTAAGTATTTGACTGTATAATATGCCAGTTTCATTGACCTCCTTAGGATTCAAGACCTAAGACCTTTACTACTCAAGACCCTTTGTGGACTGAAGAGCCTTGACTACCGAATGCCTAGTGCTCCAATGTTGATACCAATACAAAGAAGACCAGGATGATGCAAGCACCCAGTTGATCCCAAGAGAACTCTCTGGAGGCCTCTTCAAGCTTTTGGGTTCTCAGCTATCTTGAAGCCGTATATTTGGTATGTTTTGCAAAAACTTGGCTCTGCCAAGATGGTTTTAATTTCTGCTAAAAGGAATGGACTCAAGGATTTGATCTCATTGTAGATGCAGTTATCCCCAACCGGCCATGTTATGGCCCTTTAGTAAATACTGCCATTGTATTTGGTCACTATTAAATCAATCCCTATTATCTGTCAGAGCAAGTCAGTAAAATAAATGCTGTGTCCTGACTCTGGCAATCTTTTCATGTTTAAATATTTAATTTGGTTGTCTTAGACAATTAAGTATTTTCTTAAATAAATTTTAAAAACTCATTCTTTTACATTGCTTTGTTCTCTGTGGCAAAATGCAAATGCAGTTGAAGAACCAATCAAAGAAAATCCTTTCCATTATGCATAATAAATTGCTCTAGGGGAAAAATAATCCATGTATCTAAGAAAGCTTTTAAGTACCTCATATTTTACTAATGTCGTTAGTGAATAGCAAAGTGGACTCCTACTGTGGTGTCACCCCCACTCACACACATCATTCTTAGCACTTTACCTCATTTCTGCTGTTTCAGGGTCATCAGTAACTTTTTCTTGTCCTAAGTGCTGTTGTGGAGAAGGAAGTTACCATAACCCTAACCTGGGACAAAGGAATTTTTTTGTTTTTTTATAGTAACATGTCTGTAAAATTAAAAACAAAAAGGGGGTATAGGAAATTAAAAATCCCCCCTCAACCCACCTTCCAGAAATTACCACTAATAACAGTTTATTAGGTTTCTTGCAGATATTTTGCTGTATTTACAATATATGTGTATCGTGTATATATATATCCTGTTCAGCTTTAACAAAAGCAAGAGCATATTCCACATGTCTGCCACTACTTTCTTTTTTACTTTATGATGGCTATCTTTCTGTCAGTAAATATGAGTCTTCTGCATTTTTAGTGGCTGTAGTGTGTGTGTGTGTGTGTGTGTGTGTGTGTGTGTCCTCCCTTGTTGATGTTCATTTAGACGGTTTCCAAGTTTTTTGCTCTGACAAATAATGCTGCTTGAACTTAGACCTTAGATAACAGAAACTTCCCACATTCCATGATAACCTGACATTCTAACTGAAGTGTATCAACTACCCTATGAAAGGCAGTACATATATTTTAAAATATTGTGGTTAAGAAATAGTGGCATTCAATAAGAGTTTGGAGAAGGAAACTAATATTAAATTCATGCTATGTGTTTTTCCATGTGTCACCTTAATCTTCCTCCTGAGGTGAAGTGGAAAGGTATCTTATAGACCAGAAAACCATGCATCAAAAGGGAAATAACTTACCCAAGGATCAGTAACTAGTAATTTTGAATCTGGGTTTCAAACCTAGGTTCTCTGACTTCAAAATCGAGGACTACTTCTGTCCTGGCTAGTGTGAAGGAAATAAAAATAGCTTGTCCCAGTTGCATGATTTCTTGGCTCAGACACGAGCAGCTGAATCTATGGTTTGCTTCTTCTGGATGTGGAATGTAAGCAACCATAAAAGGTAGTCCTGCTTAGAAACAACCTATAAATATTATATATTTTGTTGGGGGAGAAAAGTATGTAAGTTATTGAGCTGTTTGTGTTCAATCTTCCATCATTCCTCTCTCATTGTCAAGCTTTCTGCAGTCCTGCTACGTGGTAACTTCACTGATTGCTAAACTAGATGATGTCACCCCTTGATTTTCCTGGGAACCTTTTGGGAATTGAATACCCAGGGAAATTTCCCCAAACAGGCTATATCTTGTCCCCTCTGTAGCACTTAAAAAACCAATTAACTAGATCCCTTCTACCTTGTTGATAGGAAATCTACTGGTTACTGGATTACCCTAGGGTTGTGCAGAAGTCCATGGTTCAAACATTAGAAAGCCCCCTCCAGTCATTTGTCCTCTGTCTACACTTATTACTACTGAGACATCAACTATTCCAGTCTGAATGGTGCAGTAGTTCTGTGTCCATCCCACGCTTGGGGCATGGTGATGAAGTTGTTGAGCTAGGAAGACTTTCTCCCTGGACTGAGGACGCATTCCTCTTAGGTCTTGCCATCTCAAAGTGTTGCCACCAAACACTGAGCAGGCCCTTACTCCTTCTGATTTTCAGATACCTGATTTCTTGACCTCTGTCTCTTTCTTTTCCCCTTTGGCTTCCCTCAGAGGCATGTTTGCCTAGTACCCATGTCCCTGTCTTTGGTTCAAAACAAAACAAACCAAGCTTTTTTCAAGGGGCTGATTGCACCCTCTGGCTCCAAGACTGGATGCAGAAGCCAGGTCTGGCCTATCAGAGCCACAGTGATTTTTTCAGAAATGAATGGATCACATGACCAAGCCAAGCCTGGGCCTTTCCTGGAGCTCCTTGGGAAAGAGGTGCTCTTATTTTAGGGTTGCTAAGTTGGGGAGAGGGGGAACTGAGTGCTGCTGGTGTCCAAGTTTGCCAACCACGCATGAAGAGCCTGTGTAAGAAATAAAGCCATCACAGAAGAAAGGAGCTGAAAAATGGAGACAGATTTCTGTTAACATCATATTAGCCTTGGATCAAGCCATGTCCAAAACCAGTAAATCCTTCAATTTTTCTGTTGTTTGAGCAAATAAATTCCCTCTTTTCCTTAAGCCAGTTTGAGTTGGGTTTGTCTTTTTTAACTGAAAGAATCTTGATACACTCACACTTCTCCTCTTGACATTAAACACATCCTTCACCTCCCATGCTTTGGTACGTCACTTTAATCTTTCAGTTAGCTTAGGATTTTACAAAAAAGAAAGAAATGTTGACTTCAGGTTACTTCTCAACCCAACGAAAAGCACCTGCTACTGGCTTGAAATGGGGGAAAGAAAGAAAACACAAGTTAATATCTAAAAATCTAAATATCTATCTAAAAAAATATGTAGCACAACAATACTGTCTTAGTCTGTTTGGGCTGCTATCACAAAATACTGCAGACTAGGTGGCTTATGAAACACAAATCTAATTAGATGTTAAGTAGACTTACTGTGGTATCATTTTTGCAATATATACATCTATCGAATTACAGTATACACATGAAACTAATATAATGTTATATGTCATATCTCAGTTAAAAAAAAAAAAGAAACCAAAGGGGCTTTTAAATGCTGAAGACAAAATCATCAAAGTCACCACTATCTGCTTATTCCAACACAGGAGGATTATAGACTAAATATGGCACAACACTACAGTATTTTATCAACAAGTTAAAAGAGCTTTGGAATTCGTTTTTTTCCCCAGATTTGAAAAAAGTCAACAAGGTTCTTATGAGCTGGCTGTGAACTGAAGAAAAACTTTGTTTTTAGGGTCTATACTTTTAAAATAAAGCCCCTAGATTCATACATTTTACTTTTTGTGTCTTTATCTTACAGAAATAAAATCTCAGAGTGCACAAAGATGTAAAACAGTGTTCCTTGCAACCTCGCTTTAAAAAAAAATTATTTCTCACAATTCTGGAGGCTGGAAGTCCAAGATCAGGGTACCAGCATGGTCGGGTAAGGGTCCTCTTCTGGGTTGTAGACTTCTTTTATTCTCACAGGATAGAAAGGGCTAGGGGCTGTGTCCTCTTTTATGAGAGCACTAATCCCATTCATGAGGGCTCTCCTTATGACCTAACTGCCTCCTATAGGCCCCACCTCCTAATACCATCACTTTAGGGAGTAAGTTTCCAACATATGAATTTTGAGGAGGGGTAAGGGTGGGGACACACAAACATTCAGGCCATAGCAAATGGTCATTTAAGGAGAAAAACATAACAAATCAAAGTGTGTATCCCATAATAATGGAATGTCAAAGTACATGAAGCAAAAATAGAATTAATGGAAGAATTAGGAAATCACACAATCAATGTATCTTGGGCAATGGGACCAGGCTACAGCTCTTAAATAAAGACCAGAGGTGAGTTGACCCTGATCAGGTTCCAAGAACCTAAGGTAAGAAACACAAATTCCTATTGTGCTCTAATTCCTTATGTGGTACCCAAATGAGCTACAAACTGTCTGAGGAGAGCTGAGAAAGATGGTATCCACATACAGCTTTCCTCTTGCCTGGTCATACAGGCTGAAAGCCTTATTCTGCTTTATCCATCTGGCACAAATACATCCAGAACATGTGTATCATGTAAGCTCAAATAGAAAAAGCAATAACAATGACTTTTCAATGTTGGGGTTTACTTCTTGTAAAATGTTTAGACCCTGTGTATCCAGGAGCCAAGGAAACTGTGAAAGTACAAAACTACCAGTCTTGGGCCCTCATGTCTTCCAACATGGTGTCTCAAAGCTAGCCAGCCTCTTCTACCCAGGATTTCCAGTAGGTTGGACACAAGGACCCTCACGCCTTGTTCACAGAGTAGCCATTGGTTGGTTGCTCTCAGCCACTTGTAACTCTTCCCTTTTCTGACTTCCTTACCTCTCTCTGCTCTCCCTCCTCTCCTGCCTTGTTGGTTTTGACGAAACGCCCTCCCAAATGCCACACTACCGTCAACCCATGACTCCTGCCAACAGTGACTGGTGGTCGGTAAGCAGTTTCTATTTTGAGGGGTTTTGTTTTTTCTGATCTGGCCTATAGGAGCCACTGCTAGGGTCAACATTGGAAGAGGTTCTCCGCCATATGATGATTACTACAAGGTGCATGTGTTCTAAATTATCAAATTAAAGGTCCTGAAAGTGAAGACAGTCATTTGAGAAATTACCTAGATAAACTAAGTGGAGGTCCCTTAGCCTCTTACAAGCTGGTTGACATGGGGGTACATCACTTCATCTCTCTTGACTTCCATAAAAGAAGGCGTTCCAAAAAGAAGAGGGTCCCCCAGCTATGAGCCAAGGGCTGGTTACGTCATAATCACCTGGGACCATTGTTAAAGAATCATATTCCCACACTGTACCACAGTTCTGTATCAGTCTCCCAAATGGGAATGTTATGTATGTGTCCTTAGCAAACAACCCAGATGATTCTGATAGGCACCTGGGTTTAGGAAGCACGGCAGTAGATGATCTCTTCCGACGCTAAGAGGTCACTGAGCCCGCTGCTGTATTAGCCAGGTTTGGGTGGGGCTGGACCTGGTGGAGGTGGGGGAATGCCAGACCTGTCTCAGGGTATGTGTTTGCGGGGACCCCAGGGAATCTGAGAAGGAGGAGACAGTTACCAGCTTTCCCGCCTGGCACGGCGCAGGTTCTCTGCTACCTGTCTTCAGTTCCTACTACAGGAAGGTAGCATGTACCAGGGCTCTACTGGTCCAAACCATAGTTTTCTGCTCATCCAGAGATTCTAGAAATAGAAGTCCAAGTCCTGCTTCCAGGCTTTTGTCGGGT